CTGGCTTGAGGTATGAGGAGAAAGAGACATCAATGTCGTTTGATCTACTCTGAAGGATCTTGATGTAAGGATCAAGAGCTTCGCGTTTTGTCGCAACGACAGTTACTACAGATGTTTCCGCCATTGGAAGGAGATCTGTTTTTCTTTTTGTAGAAGCTGAGAAAAAGATTTTCAAGTTAGTACAGTGCTCTGTTTCAAGTCGCTCTCTAACTCTATGACTATGTGATTATATATAGGGTTACACACTTGAGGTAGGAGTGAAGTGTCACGAGTTAGTTTATGTCAGGAAAAAGTTCTTATCTTTCTCGTTTAATTATGTCATCATGACGTTTCTTACATGTAGATAGATTGTCTAGTGGCTAATACGGATTTCCTTAAATGATTTTTTTTTTTTTGAGGGTTTATTGTTAAGATTCCTTAGAGAAATTTTGATTTTGTTAAAAAACTAGTCAATTAAGATTCATAGAAAATTTGTAGGCATCATAAAAAGTACATTAAAACATTGTTTCAAAAATAAATGGGGAAACTATGTATAATAGTAGAGTTTTTGGTATCTCTTCACATTCATTTTTTATTGTCTCTCTATGTCCAAAACCAGTATTGAAGTATTAGTACCTCACTTGGTAGTTCGAAATTTCAGTCCTCGGTATTGAAAAAAATAAACTATTTCTCGAAGATGTTACTAAACAATTCGAGTATATAAATGTTGGTAGTGTCCTAGTGATAAGTATGATCCGCCTTGTTCGAGCCGCTCATGAAGGGTTATTTCTCATAAAGATAAATTCGATATGGTTGGTTCCGGGTTAGGGAAGATTAGGGCATACGCTTGGATTTTGTAGGAGTTTCGGACCGATAAAAAAAAAGTTAGGCTAAGAAAAATATAAACCAAATTTCCTAATTATAGGAAGAAGATTTAGTTGAACTATCCATATTGAGTTTGATCTTTGTCATTTTTCATAGTATATAAAAATCGACATCCAATAAAAACCCGACCCGAAATATATAGACCAGTCCGTATCGAAGTCGTAATCTGCAAGATGAGAAGAAACATAACTTTTTTTCATCTTTGTTTTTTGGTATAAACATAAAGTTTTGTTGCACCCTATCTGCAAGTTTGGAAACGTGATGGTTTCCCTAGGCCATAGTCGTACCATGTGGCTTCTCTATTATTATGTTCTTCTCTACGATGCTTTTAAGCAACAAGACAAATATAACTCCAAAGAAGGTGACAAATCTCAATAGTGATTACTTCCTATTCGACAAGAAACAGATCAAAAGAGAGGATAAGAATTATCATTGTAATAAAAATGGGTCCATTCTCTTTATACAATAATAATCTTTTTTGACATTTAACGGACAAATGCTCCGAACATGATTAGGGTTAATAGGCTGTCAATTGTAACGTGTTTTCTACTTTAACTTCATCATTTTCAATGTTAAAAACGTATTTTGGTATAGTTATCAATGAAGTTGATTTATGATGTTGGAAATATTATATTATTAGATTTTATTGATATCTCGTACTAGAATGAATGAATTAGATTTCGAGGATCAGAATGATCGAGGTATGCCAAGTTGGATGCTTGAGGATTTTGTGGCCATGAGAAATGGTCCAAGTGGATGCATGAATATGAAGTTAGATAAATA